CCGGCTCTGTCCCCACAGCGCCATCCGTCCCCCCGCTCCCGGTAAGCTCCCGCTCCGCCCCGGGGCTGAGTAGAACCCGTGATTAATTCACGCTTTTTACATCCCGAGGGGTTCTCCCCAGCGGGGCAGGGGCTGCCGTGAAAGGGCACTTGGGGGCTGCAGCTGCTGGTTGTACTGACCAGGCAGCACAAAGTTCTTTAGGGCCACGTTTTTAGGTGTCTCTGCCATTTACACCCTAGAGGATATGGGAAAGGATGTTCTATAGTAAGATTATTCACCATGTGAATATTCAGTGGAGTATTTGATGTTTAGAGATCTCCGTCAAAAATCCACGAAGCACCTTGTTGGAACACAGCAGGATATAAAATGCTGGAGCTTTCTCAAGCCTGTGCCTGTCCTTGGCTTCCCTGGACAGCTCCAGTGCTCTGCTCTGTGTTCTTTAAAGTGAAAAGTAACTCAGTAGCTTCTGAAATCAATGTTGTTTTAATGAACTGATTCATTTTTAAGGAGTTCTGAGACCCGTTTAACAAATCTACCTCAAGTCCATGTTTTGTGTTTTCAGAGGAAGAAGAATGTCCCAAAAACAGCTGAAAGAAGCCTTTATCAGCAACCTAAATGGAACGAGTTTGCTGGAAATTTCCGCAGGCCTGTCCCTGCCTCCGCTGTGCCTGCTCTGCAGAGGGCTCCTCCTGATCCTGTACTACCTGCACCATGGAAAACCTGTAAGCTCAAGGAAGTACAGCCTGCTGCTAGACTTCCTGGTGCTGGTGTCTCCTCTCCTGTTCTCCTGCACTGTCTTGTCTCCAGTCATCCTTTTCATACCAGTTATCCTTGCTGCCTTCTGTGCCGGAATATTTTCCAAAATATACAGCCAGAGAAAATGGGAGGCCAGAGTGCCCTTTGGGCAAATTGTAAAAGAATTTCAGAAGGCATACTTGGATCCCGAGTGCATTCCAGCAATAACTGTGTTCCGTGTTTATGTCAACGTGCTGACATCCATCAGCATTTTGGCCGTGGATTTCCCGCAGTATCCCCGGCGATACGCCAAGGCCGAGACCTACGGCACCGGAGTCATGGATTTGGGGGTGGGAGCCTTTATCTTTGGAAATGCTCTTGTTTGCCCTGAGGTTCGACAGAAGTCTCACACGACACAGCCCAGATTCTCCAGTCTGGCCAGGCAGGTGTTTGCTGTGTGGCCGCTGATTTCCCTTGGCGTGGGGCGGCTGCTGAGTGTTAAATCCATCGAGTACCACGAGCACACCTCGGAGTACGGGGTGCACTGGAACTTCTTCTTTACCTTGGCGTCGGTGAGACTCGCAGCATCTCTGCTTTTGGCCATATTCCCCAAACATAAGGCTTGGCTTGTGGCCCTAGCTCTGGCTGTGCTTTACCAGCTGCTCCTCAGCACTACCTCTCTGAAGATGTTTATCCTGCACGGCAGCGATGGCAGGGACTCCCGGCTTGGCTTCCTCAATGCCAACCGGGAAGGGCTGCTCTCCCTCTTTGGCTACCTGGCCATCTACCTGGCGAGCGTGCAGGTGGGGCTGTGGCTGCTGCAGTGCAGGAGCTCGGTGAGGGGCTGGCTGCAAGCCCTGAAGGGGCTGGCTCTGGCTGTTCTGGTGCTGTCGGTGTTGCTGCAGCTGTGCCAGGCGTGCACGGAGCCCGTGTCCCGCCGCGTGGCCAACCTACCCTTCTGCACCTGGGTGCTCGCCCACTGCCTGCTGCTGCTGGGCTTTTTCGTGCTCACTGACCTCGCCTTGGTGTTCACAAAGCTGCTGGTCGAGGGGTCCAGCGTGCCCTGCTGCTGGAAGGTTGTGCAGCCCCCTGATTCCAGGAAAAAGGGAGTGGAGGCCGTGCAGGTGGGAAGGCAAGACAAGCTGTCACAGCTATGCCTGATTAGCGCTATTAACAAAAATCAATTACTGTTTTTCTTGCTAGCGAATGTTATGACTGGTGCTGTGAACATCCTGATAGATACAATCCACAGCAAGGCTGCCTTTACATTATGCATACTGCACTTGTACATGTTTTTTAACTGTTTAATTATGTATATATTGCATGCCAGAAATATAGTATTAAAGTTTTGGTGATTCCACTTTGGCTGAGTGGACTAGCTGGACTTTGTTTGCTGTAGTTGAATGATGGTATTTAATGGAAAAATCAGTATTTTTCCTGGATGTGTTGCAATAATTTATAATTTAGCAGCGCTTTTTATTATTTGGTGTTGATTGCTTTTTAATGGTTCGTTTTACCAAATTATACAGTCAATGATCTTACCTGTTGGGAGTTGTTGCACATTATCCTGAAAACTTAGGTTTGGAGATTGCTGAATATTCCTGATGCTCCTGAGAGTAAATTGTATTTACAGTTAGTGAAGTGTGCTCATACCCAAGGAATTAGATAACAAGGTACAGTAGAAACCAGATGAAAAGTAAGAAGATGAGTAATTATATGGAGAGAGAGGCCTAGCTGTATCAAGATTTACCTAGTTAAGGCCCTTGCATAAATAATAGATAAGAATAATTATTTATATAAAATGTATCGAATAAGTGGATACTTGAAAACATTTTGGCCCCAGTCCTGCAGAGACTTATGCATATGCTTGACTTTGATGGTAGTAATTGTGGAATGTTAATCATACACTGAAACCTAAATTAGCCTTTGAATTAAAGCTAAATTTTACTTCCATCCCCACTGATGAATATAAATGAAGACCTGAGATAAAGTGTGATGCTCTGAAGGATAAACTCAACTGCAGATGAATTCATAAAGCAGTTGTTGGAGGTTGTGGTGCAGATAATAAGAGCAACACTCCATAAAAAAATACAAAGATACCAAACTAATTCAGCTCCAACCTGCAGACCAGCACATTGAATTTTGTATTTGAATATTTTGCCAGCAGAGATGTCTCCAAGGGGGGGACATTTGGCATTAATTTTTATTAGCAAACAAACAGGGTGCAGATGGAAAGAAGTGCAGTGCACTGGGTCAGGGTTCTGGCAATGGCTTGAGAAGGAAGCTGCTCAGTTTCTCAAGTCTTCTTTGCAAGGCCAGAGCAGAACACCCTCTGTGTTCCCTTTCCTGACTGTGACAGTTCTTCCTGACCTCATAAAGTCGTTGGGAAGAGAATACACTTGAAGATTGTGAGGAATTCAATAATGGGATATAAATACTTTAGGAGTAGAAAACCAATGGTAGCTGATGATAGATGTCTAATGTCAATGAGTTACAGCAGTACACATAGGCCATATTTCATATTTCTCCTTGTCTATCACAAGTGATGAATCATAAAACCTTTGGAGAATATGCCACTAAATCAGATTCCTTAAGACAGACATGCTGTGGAAGAGTTATAAATGTATGAGGTTCTCCAAGCCCCTGGCCAGCAGAAAGGTGAAGCCTGAGGATTACAGGCTGTGGCCACACTGAGTTCATGCTTGTTTGCTTCCAACTTAAAGCCGTGCAGTCTTGAGAATCAAAGCAAAGCAGCCTGTATTATCCTGGGGACAAATGCAAGAACTGGCAACAACCTCTTAAAAACAGTTGTCAGTTTGTAGCAGAGTTTTCTGGTAACTGGTGGATGTGTTTATTTTAAAACACTTCCTAGACTTGCCTAGGGAAGAAAGGTCTCCCTCCGGAGCCGACAGGCACTACTCATTTATGCAAAAATACTCATGGATATTTATTTTTGAAATATTTAAAGCCCAAAACCTGCAGTGAGTTCTGCCTGTGAGCACAAGCCTGTTGGTGTGATTCAGAATGAACTGGGTGTGACAGGCAGAGCTGTGTCTGGACAAGCACAGGGCATCCAGGTGCCAAGTGCACCGGGGCAGCAGGAGGACGTGGGAGGTCTGCTGGGCGAGCTCCACACGGGCTGGTGCTGCCAGTTCCAGACCTGCAGCTGTGGTTGCCACAAGAGCAGCAAAGCCAGGGGATCGTGTGCACTGGAGTGAGAACAACCCTCTCACCAGCACCAGCTTCTCATCATGAGACTTCTCCTGCTTCTAAAGCCCTGAGGAGTAAGAGGGTTGGTCAAGTCAGAGGTTGTGGCCAGGTGGGTTTGGTCTCTTCTCCCAGGCAGCAAGTGACACAAAGAGGACATGGCCTCAAGCTGCACCGGGGGAGGGCCGGGTTGGACACCAGGAGGAATTTCTCCATGGAAAATGTGGTCAGGCACTGGAAGGTGTCCAGGGAATGACTGGATGTGGCAGTCAGTGCCCTGGGCTGGTTCACAAAGTGTGGATCAGTCACAGGTGATGACCTCAGAGATCTTTTCCAACCGAAATGATTCTGGGATTCTGCGAGCTGTTCCCCAGTGAATTAATGACACAATTAATTCTCATTGCTTGCTGTCGATAACAAATGCATTGAGCTCTGCCCTGAAGCAACTGGTGTAGTTATGAATGCTGAGTGTTCAGCCTATGAGCACAAGATAATTGCCCAGGCCTCCGAGAGAACCCAGAGATGCAAGCGAGCATCCTTTGATCACAGGATGAGCAAACAGCTCTGCTGGGGTTTGAAAAGATGTGAAAGTGACCACCAGGACACTGCTGTTCTCCACACAGCTGTTGGCTGGGTGGCTGGAAGGAGCAGGAACTCTGCATTTCAATTCACTCTGGGCTGTGTTTAGACAAACAACCCTTTGTACAGATTAAAGGTGCATTTTTTAAAATCAGAAACTTTTATTTAGTTGTTACATAACCAGTAAAAGTTTAAGATATTTCAAGTAGGAGGACTAATGGTTCAACCATAAGGTGTCACCTACTTCCACAATAGTAAAGCAGAGGGAAACAGAAATTGTTTTGCTTTGCTGCCATAATTTCACCAAATGATCTTTCTGTAGAGCTGCGGGGTAGAAAAATGCTGGGATATGGTGGGAGAGTGGAGCTGATTACATTTATCTTTAACCTTCTATTACACATCACTAACTTAACACATCTCATTATTTTTAAGGAGCAACTCTAGCATGCCTCATCTCCCAGCTGCAGTGGTGTTTCTTTTGAAGTCAGATGTTACCCTGCAGATTCCAGGCAGTATCCTATTTCAAAGCCACACTGTCCCAGAGAACAGGTATTTCTTCCAGGCAAAGAGGGCCATGCAAATGAACGCAGGAAGGGGCTGGCTGCCTTTCCACCGCCTTGGAGATAACAAACAAGCCACGTGTTGCAGCGACTTGAAAAAACATTAAAGATCCATGGATAAAAATTGTATAAAATGTAATGGTGCTTTTTGTATCAATGTGCACTCCAAGAATACAAAACCTGGGACAGTGGTGGTTGATGTGATCCAGCCATGCTCTGGGAGTGGGGAGCGACCACAGGAATGCACATCCCTGCAAAGACCTAAGTTCAGCGTGGTTCAGAGTGCTCTGGTGTGAGAATCTATCCCTCATTACAAAACCCCAGCTTTTCTGCTGCAGAAAGCCATGAGAACAGCGCCTGCAAACCGTGCAGCACCGTGACTCCACATGTGGTTCTCCTTACAGCTGCTGCACGAGGAGCTCCACAACAGCAGCTCCTCCACTAAGCATCGTTTTTATGCAGACACAAGAAAACATAAAGACTCCTGCTCCTTAAATACCTCCCCTGCACTTTCCTGTGAGGGCTTTAGTGCCTATATCCATACACAACAAGAATGAACAGGTCAGCTGTATTGTTCAATAGTTCAAGAAAGACTTAGGGTTCGTTTTTCTTGTTGTTGTTTTTTTTGGTTTTTTTTTTTTTTTTTTTTGGGGCTGCTTAATTTAGGCAGCCACAAGATTTCGAGCCGGCTGCACTGGGCTGCTGCAGGCGCCAAGCAGAGCTGTTAAATCCTGCCCTGCCTGGCTCGGCACCAGCGCAGCGAGGGCTGAGCTGCGTTTGATGCCGGGGCAGCGTCTGAGAATTTACCGAGCCCCAAGGACATCGAGTCCAACGCTTATCCCTGCACAGGACACCCCAAAATCGCCCCCCTGCCCGTGCCTCAGAGCGTTGGGTTCAGCGGGTTTGTACCAGCCCGAGCTCCCGGCGGGGCCGTTCGCACCCGCGCTAACGCCCGGCCCGGCCCCGCTCGTTGGAACCCCCAACGCCCCGGGGCCCGCCCCCGCCCCCGGCCCAACCGCCGGCCCGGGGGCCGTTCCTG